ATCATTTGAATAATCGAGTTAAGCAACCGCGTCTTTGTATCAATCGATGTGAATAAAAGGGACTTGCAACGAGAAAAAAAAACCTACACACATATACTATTGTTACCTTTGTTCATTATACCGTGGATGCACTGTGTGCACGAATCAAATAAAGTACACATTTTGAATTCGGCTTTTTGAGCGCAACAAATTTGAATATATGTAAAATTTGTTACGATTTTCATACCGTTAGCGCTATGTGCATTTCACTTGAATTCAAGGCAACTCACCGCATTTATCGCGGTATACTGTGTCTTTCAGCGAAATTGCAAGCGACGGATGTTTTCAACAAGCCCATATGCGCTTTCTCACATTTTCGATTGAGAAAAAATGGGAGTAAGACAGAGAGAAAAGGAGCGAGAAAAAGAAATCGTGAACAGCTCCATTCGGTGTTTATGCATTTCCCATGAAACTGCTTTCAAAGAAATATTTAGTAGCTGGATGTTTTTTTTTCTCGTTGCCACGTGGCAATTCAGCGGTTGTACAATAAATTTTATACGTACGTTGTTTACCGTTAGAGTTTATTTCTACAGCGAGGAAAAGTGAGCGAGCAAGAGAGAGAGACGTGGAAGAACGTGTGATTTTTCTCTGCATCGTGAAAATCGGCTTGTGGCCAAAATAACAAGTTACTGCATCTATTTGGAAAAATGGTAAAAGAAGCAGCAGCATCTCTATATATGCAGCTTAGTTGTGGAAAGTGGATAAACCACGACAAAAAGAGACGCAAAACGACATTGGAGAGGAATAAATAGAGACAGAGCGAAAGCGAAAAAGCGTCGAGTCCCAAAAATACGGTAGTTAAATGAAAGCGCTGTATTTACGGTTCGTTAGATGTATCCACAATTTACTCAAAATTGCACACACCCGCCCAACAAAAGTGTGTGTGTGCGCGCGAGCGGCAAATGTGGGGGACCTTTCGGAAGCGGGAGTCATTCTTGTGACTATGGATTTCCTTCGCGTATGAATTCGAATAGAGAATTTTCCGACGACATGTGCATTTTGGCCCAGAAATTATGGTTGCAGTTCACGTTCTGCTTTTTGCTGCTTGAGAAAACTTTCTTCGTTGTGAATTCGTTTTTTTTCTTCTGTCACTTTGTGCCTGCCTGTAACCGCATCAGTCCTTCAACGGAAAAAGAATCTATTTGATGCAAACACACGAATTGGAGAATTGTTTCCGCATGTTTAACTTCTAAATTATAGCTAGTGCAGAGTTCGCATATTAGTCGTGTCATTGATGAAGAGCAAACACAGAAATTGAAACGCGAACTGCACTCAAACCAAAGTGACACAAATACAAATTACGCAGTACGAGTGTGTGCCAAGCAAAAATAAGAAACACGATGAAACGCTACTGTTTGCACTATGATTTTCGCATGATTTCTTATTTCGATTGTCATTTTTTTTTGCAAAATAGCAAAATGTCATGGTCGCCCAACAATTTGCCAGCCTAGTATCGTGAATTGATTACAGAGCCGTATTGTTTGCGGTGTCTGTCTGTTTCTTAAAATCCGAATTTTGTTGTGATGACTAAGCATTGGCCATAAATGATGCCGTCAGACGAAAGAAAAAAAGTGCAGTAAATACGATAATGCAGTGTAATAAAACCAACCGCAGTAATGCCTTATTTGTGAAATGAATGAAAAACGAATGCCAGACACTGATGATTAACGCTAAATACGAAATAAGTATGAAATATTTAAGAACTTCAGCTTAAGAATTGGATACAAATGCTTATCGCTGCCGTAATTTGACGTTGATTTGTGTTTTTCGGATCAGTTTCTTATTTGAATGCATTTGCATATCATTGAGGCACTTATTGCACAATAAATATTTTAATTGCCGTCATATTTTTAATGCACTCATTTCCATTCCATCTGATCTTCGTCAATTAATCACATATCGCAAGCAAAATCGGTTCTTCGTCGAGATCTTCGGCCATTCGCATCGCTTCTCTTCCTTCCCATCTTTTTCATTCGTAAATGCGTTCACATTGCGGTTGGTTTCAAGTCCCGAATTCATGTCTAACATCATGCAACGATAGTGCAGTGTCATCGTGCATTGACAGATTTTTATGTGCAGTTTTATTTTTATTCCAAGTTTTATTATTCATTCTCTCAAATCGTTTGCCGGTTGTATCCATTCTCACACACAACTCCTTCACTCAGTCAGTCACTCAGTCACATGCGCTTCTTTTATTCGTTCTTTTTTTTCACATAAAATGGGCCTAATGTAATTCTTATATATAAAATATCCATTTAACTTTCCATTAAGGTGAATATTTTTATTATTTGGATGTTCGTTTTATTCCTTTCATCACTTTAATCCATTTCCATTTGAATCATCAGAAACGAAGTCTTTCAACTTTGTCAGTGTGTTTGAAATGCCGTCGCTTTCGTTTGCTTCGGTTAGCTTCGGTTTGTTTTGCTTTTGTGAAATTGATTTGACTTTTTTTCAACTTCGTATTTCGCATTCTGAATGTGAATTTGAATTATGATTCTCCAACATCAGAGGCCATTAGTTCACACTTTGTGATGTTATTAAAAAACACAACGAGAAATACCGAAACTGTGATTTGATGCTGCAATCTATTTTTATTTTCACTCATGAATTCACTACTCTTCCGCAACGAAGGAATGCTGTTGGAAATACGTCTCCTATCAGGCACATTCACACATTCTGAATCAAACCCAAACATTCACAATCCAGCCAAATGAATGAAAAAATGTCAAAAATTCACGTCGCAAATGGTTTCATTAAAGTCGAGAATCATTTTTATGTTTCAGTCGTGTTTGAAATACGCGTGGAATGCGAACGCCATAACGCTAAACGTAGGTGATTAATGTCAATTTACAGATCGTTTTAATTTTAATGTTCGTTCTTTTTTTGTTCCGATGCGCATCGATTTTCCAAACTCATGAGAATGATGACAATGACTACTCTTCGCGATCACCCTTTATTTCTTCAGCGCCAAAATTTACGAGCATGAAACATTCTAAATCGAGACTCGTCCATCGCACAAAGTGTTTTTCTCATAACAGTTCTTCGTGATAATATTGAGGAAAAAATGCTCTAAACATACGAGAGCATTAAATTGACCGAGAAAAAAACATATTTAGATAAAATTTCGATTTTTCTTACATGTTACGTGTTTGGAGCTCTATACACACATGAGTTCACTGAATCAAACGATAAATCGAAATCATTGACGGCAACAACAACAACAACCTCGATAAATGCCCGAAGAAAATACTAATGGAGCGATTGTAATGAAAAATTCAATAAAACTTATAGCAACAAAATTATGTCTCACATTCAAATCAACTTGAGTCAGTCGACGATTCAGGTCTAATTTGAGTTGATTCTACCGTGAATTCAGATTGATGACGACAGTTCTTCATGCATGCACATTCATATTTTTTCCGCTTATTTTCTCATTTGTCTATTATATTTATATCTCGTGTATGAGCTCACGCAATCGGAAAACGACGTCGAAGTTGAACACATGAAAATTAAGATAAAATTTCTAAAAATATTTAGTCTGAGCATAAATCTTCACGCATTGCAAATGCATCGGGCTCCATGTAGCTTGCTGTGCGAGTATATCGTATGCGCATTGCATCGCATCGCATCGCATCGTCATTCGTTTAGTGTCAGTAAAACTGAATTTACAGTTTGTCATAAATAGTAAATTGGTTGAAAAGATGCAACCGTTTGCAATCAACAAGAAAGAGAGAGAAATGTGCATTTGAAAATGTCACATTTGCGCCACTGTTTTCATCTACTTGAAATTCAATTTGAGTTTATTTTTCCTCTATTCCATCTGTTGTCATTTCCAATTCTCAGTCTCGCCCTTCGTTCGATCGTACATTCACCAGTTCTGCTATTTTCCATTCATTTAGTTTTATTCAATTTAATTTAATGCCATAGCACGTTATAGTGTTGCAGTTTTCCATCGCTCTTTGTGCTGCTTGTCTCGCTCGTTTTTTCGGAATTAATGGCAATTTCGACCGGCATTTATGCACAATACAAATTCAAGTGCCATGGTAGGAATAAAGGTTTTTTTTTCAATCTCTCGCATCGAAATCGGATTACCCATACTAATCAGTAGAACTTTTTTTCTAGTTTTTTTGTCGATTCGCCGACAGATTTTCAAGTGGCGCACAATTAGACAGAAATTATTTGCAAAGAGCATGAAAACGGCCGAATCATATAAAACCCATTCAGGTTGTGAATGGAATAAATCTTCCAGATTTGCTGGAAGAGAAGTAAAAATGATAGCAGTCAATGATAAATCCATCGATTTCGTTGTAATTGTTTAGCTTCATACAGTTGCTGCGTTCAGCAAAGACAACATCAACTGGGAACCATTAAAATTTGATTTCATTTATAAAATATATCGTAGTTGAAGTAAAATTGAATGCTTCAGTCTCATTTCTTCAGTTTACCACTTTTTTCTGCAACGGTTGACTAACGGATTTATCTGTTATCGTGCGCATCATTTTGTTGGCTTGAATGTTTTCTTCATCGATGGGTATCTGACTTGGTTCACTTTAGAAAAGCAGGAGAATAAGAATTTACGGCAAAAACATCCTCAATTTATTATGCATGCTTCAAATAATTTCATAAGAAATGAAAGAAAATTCAATAAAAATAAAAAAAAGCTGTGGCATCGCGGCAAATTCTTTGTCAATAGCTCGCAAAAGAGATGGTTCAAATGGACCTCAATATTCATTGTATCGGCATTCATTGAAATCATTTCTCATTTAAATTAAATGGATTCAATGTTTGATCGATTTGCGGAGATAAAATTCATTTCTATTTTCTCTCCCCTTTTTCTCTCGTTCTCTCTCTTTCTCTCTCTCTCTCTCGTTTCACATAATAAATAAATGGAACGCAATTTTCTTTTAATCGATGAACATTTTTTCTAACATTTTTCTTCTTTCCTTTTCTTTTCCTTTCAGAATCAGTTTATGTTGATGTTTTGAGACAAGAAAAAAAAGAAACTACATTAAAAGCCATTAAATGAAGAAAACCGAAGAATTTTGCTCGGGTAGCGAGAATTAAACGACGAGGTGTGAATGGGACTTAATTGAATTGAAATTGCCGCTCTCGAATGTTTTAATATGTTGCGAAAAATTCCCAATTATGAGTACCGCGATAATAACAAAAATACCAGTGACAGTAGCAGCGGCTGCGAGGACGATTTCGACGCCGACGACAGTTATGTAAATGATGGTGATGAGCATTCGAATGAAATGGAGCCAACAGCAGCCACCGCATTGAATCTTTCGCCGATGCCACATTTTCCTCCGCCACCCGACTATCCACCGCCAGCCGCACGAACAACACAAACCCCACAGCGAAGTCGTTATTACTATTACGAAAACGGTAAAACCGATATGAATGGCAGTCGGCGCCGCGTTGGAAGTTTAGATAGAGATTGCGGTTACACAACTGATGGAAATGAAATTTGTAGCCAATACCTACACAACGGCTCGAACCCGACGAGCAGCAGTCACAGTGCGAATAATAGCTTCAGCAGCACGAGTAGTTCTAGTAATAGCTCTGTAGTCATGCATAAAATGAAAATGCCACCGTCTCAAATGCGATATCCGCCGCCAACAAATACAAATACAAACACAAACGATTTTGATAGCATTGAAATCTTTTCGACGGAACAGGAGAAACGTTTCCCAAATAAAACGCTCTCGTCATTATCGAAAAGTAGCAAAAATAAAATACACCAGGACGGCATTCGTGCGACGGGTACGAACAGCAACCAAAATATTAACGTTGTCGAGCTGTTCGAACAGAATCTGATTCCGTTCGGTGGTAGTGCAGCCAGTTTTGCACGTGAGTCTAAAATCCATACCAACAACGCTGAACCACAGGTGAGTTTTATGAAGTTTTTGAGTGCATGCATAATGATTTCGGAGAACATAAATCTTTCCACAGTTTGAAATTAGAATCGGGTTTTTTTTCCCGATTTATTTTTGTCTTTGGGACTTTGGCGCGTTTTTACACGAAAAAGATCATCTGAAGTTCGTTCGCATTGCGTTTGCATTTCATTTGCACAATTTTCATAGAACAAAAAACCCATCTCTCAGCGGATGAATTGCACATTTTCATTAATCTTTCAGTTTGCTCTAATTTGAATCAGTTGCTCTTGCATAAAATCTTCTGCACATTTTCGAATGAGAGACAGATTTCATTGAAATGTTTTTCTTGTTGTTAAAACGATTATGAACTCAATGCTAGATCCGCATTCGTACGATGGATACCAAATGATAAGCTCTGTAAATGAAACAATGATTAACGATCTGGTAAAGTTTTTTTTTTGTTTTTTTTCCTGCTATTAACACCGAACTGAAACTTTCTACTCAATTCGTAGAATTTTCGGTGTGTTTGAACAAGAAGTAATTTTTCGCTAGAAAAACTATCGTTTTTCCGCCATTGTTAGACGGAGGATTCATTAAACGTAATTAATTTGGATTGTAAATTTTGTTTCCATTAGGTGAAATGGGTTCGAACGAATATTTCAGCAACAATGGAGCGATTCCATCCGAGTCCATCGACATCAAAACACACCAACACAGCTGCCGAACATCTGTACCAGCAGATCGATGAGTCACCCCGATCTCTGCGATCTCGGTACGATTTTGAAAGAAATCTATCATTGGTATCGGCCGGACCATCGAAACCACCACCGCCGAATTCAATGCGCGCATTGATGATGACCGCGAATCGAAATGCTCACAAAATGTCACCAACAATGCGTCACATGTACACGACACGTTATGGAACACAAGAGAATATTTACGAGGAAATCACAAGTGAAGAACGGTTGCGACTATTGTCCGGTGGTCATTCAATGATGTCGCTGCACCAAACCAGTTCAGTCGAAGAGGAGTTTCGACGCGTACAGAATCGACATCGTCGAATTTTAGGTGAATTAAATTTATCGGTGGAGGCAATGCTGATGCCTTCGACACCGCCAAGTGAAAGTCCCATCGCGCAGACTGAAGCACAGGAAACAGAAACGACGACGGCCTCGACAACACGTCTCAATGAATTACTGAATGTAGTTGGTCCGACCGATGAACTTTTGTCGCCGGTCAGCATCAATGCGGCCAACAATAATAACACGGGTGATATCGATAGTGGCTTTAGCGGTAGCTCCAGCAGCGGAGGTGCAAGTTATTTGGGTAGTTTACGTTATAAAAATGGTTTGCCAATACGATCGTCAACGCCAAACGGACATAGCAGTGCAAGCAGTTGTCGTTCGTCGCAAAGATCAAACGAAGACCCAGGCATTTTAATGATTTCGACACGTTCGTCGCCACTTTATGGAAACGGCATTATGAATGGCAGTACACACGGTACACACACACTAGCGAAGGCCAATCGATTTCGGTCGGCCGAGGATCCTGGACCGAATGCCACATACAAAGATGGAAAAGTGGTTGTGAATGGCGTGACTTCGACAAATCGAAGCGGCAGCGGATTTTGGAGTAGAAAGAGCTGGCGAAAGTTGCCGGGTTTTTCAAGCAACACTAGCGTTAATAAAGCCGGATTGAACAACGGTAAGTGTAATCAGTTGTTCTTATTTGAGGAAACATAAACTAAACTAGGCTACACAACAATAACAACAAAAACTTAGGTCGTTCGCTGTTTCGCATTTGCATTTCCTACACGCAAAAACACGAAAAATGTATTAAACTAAAACTTTTTCATTTTCCCCCGTTTCTTTCATTTCAATCCCCCCCTTTATCCAATTTAGATCGGAAAAATAATTATAGCTGAACATGCGAAAGTTCTAATGAATAAAATGTCGGTTGGCAGAGAACGAGCAAAAATGGCAACATGTCATTTATTTATTGGCGCTGAGTAATTATGATACATACGCATTATGAGTGTGATTAACGTGATGATAGATTTTAAAATCTATGGCCTATTCGTATATTTCGTATAAATAAGTTATCGAAGTTCGCTAGCCGAAGCACTCGCCCTGGCGAATTGATGTATGTACGTGCGTGCATGTGTCTAAAATGCATATTTTAGCAGCCTAAAGGCGCAAAAATTCGACAAATTAAATGAAAAAAGAATTCAAATTAAACATTAACATTAGATTTAAGTAGATACTGATATTCAAATATAAAATTTACAGAAAAACGAATGAAAATCAAACTAATGCCAGTGTGCAAATGCAGTTCTTCATTTTTAATCGATCTGAATGTAAATAAAAAAAAAGAATGCATACAATTGTAACATTTTAACGATTCAAATGACAAACTCTGAAGTTCAATACACTGAATGTGAAATGAGGTGATGGATGGGAAGCGAGAGAAAATACTTCCCCGTCATCGTTGCAGAGGTAACACTCTGCCGAAGCATTTTTCCATCATTTTATTTCATACTAAAATAGTTTACAATAACAAAAGTTTATAGATGAATATTCAAATCTTGGCAAATTTGCCGAAATGTCTTCGGGTAGGGCGATTTCAATTGTAGATTTTATGTAGTTTAATGTAGTGTATTTACTTTTTTTATGTAGGAACAATTTTTTTGAGTAATCGGCTATCGAAAAACCGCTCCAAAATGGCGATACTCAAATCTTGGTCAAAAAACGAATTTTCCATGAATCAAATGTTTTACTTTTCCGCAAACTTTGTTTGTATGGAAAAGAATTGGTTTTACTAGCGAAAATTTCATGACATCTCCTCTTTCGGACCACTATAACGTCACGCTAAACTTCAAAAAGCACATATTTGTACACTAGGCAATGTAGATGGGATGAAATCCTATCGATCAAGACCTATCTGCCTCCAAAAACATGTTGTTTACTATGAAAAATGTGCAAAATTGCGATGTTCGCCGTAACTACAATTAAATTCCGACCACTACAATAACCGTAGGTGGTTCCACAATTATTTTTAGGTCACTACAATTAATTCTGGGTTACTACAATTAATAAAACAGTTTGGACCATTTTTGGAGCATTTTTTCTCCCTACAAAAACAAAACACTGCTGTTGTCAAATAAGTTGTTGAAAATATCAAGAATCGGACGACTGATTTGAATTCTACATTTTTTCTACAATTTTATGGACCCTAGAAACAATAGAAAAAAGATTTAGCTTGTGGAAAGTTCGATTTGGGGCCAAGATTTGAGTATTACCGATTTTGGACCAATTTTCATGACTCGTCCCGATATCGAACGAACGGGCAGACATATTTGAAAACAGACAATTGATTTGAATTCTACAATTTATCTGCATTTTTTTGAAACCATGGTTCCAACCAATGTATTCTCCATTCGAAAAAACATTTGATTCATGGAAAATTCGTTTTTTGACCAAGATTTGAGTATCGCCATTTTGGAGCGGTTTTTCGATAGCCGATTACTCAAAAAAATTGTTCCTACATAAAAAAAGTAAATACACTAGATTAAACTACATAAAATCTACATTTGAAATCGCCCTACCCGAAGACATTTCGGCAAATTTGCCAAGATTTGAATATTCATCTAAGTTTATGCATAAGAATAAATTGTGACTGATTTCAAATTTTATGATGCCACTAGTTCAGCTGTTAAAAATGATAATTCGAAGATGGTCCGATGAAAAAAAAACACAAATTTTTGAAACTCATGTATAAAGGGACAATATTTTGTTTTAGTTTTTTTTTTTCTGGTTCGCGTTTCAATTCTCGAATGTTGAACGGAATACTTCTCGAAATTTTCGATAATCTAACAAATAAAATAGCATACATAGTGATTCTTTCTTAAAGGAGTCTATATATGTGTATATGCACAATCTGTGTCTAGACATAAATGTTGTTTTTCGATGGGATCAGCTTACCGATAATCTATAAACAGTTTTCAGTTGAGTTCAACATGGTGCTTTTATTGAAAACTCTCGTTGTAAATATGAAAAATCAATCCGTCGGCTTTCGCACACACACACACACACACACACACACACACACATGATATCAAATATTTTATCATTTTCCATCCGATCACGCCGTTACATTTGCACACTCTTTTTTCTTTGACATAGACAACTTCTTCCAATTCGAAATTTAAAATGTTGCAACACGAATAAAATGTGGCAAATCACAACCAATTTCTGGCTATTCGAATAAAGACTCGACGTTGTATTGAAAACAGTCCCTAATTGTGCCATGTTATTACTAAATGTTTACAATAAACATGAAAATGAAAATGTTTTTAAAACTCAAATTGCCGAGCCGTTCAAAAGTGGACATTCATTTTTGTTAGAATAGCTTGTTGCCGCGGAAATATAGCTTTCAGGTCAATTTACATATACAATATTCACAATAGTCCCGTTCATTAAAAATAACAACTCACACAAACGCAAACATACACACAGACATAGAGCACGGCTGCTTAGCTAAACGCTTTTATATATTCCAATTGTACGCGCGCGATTCAATATTAAAATGAATTCCACACCAATGCAATTTAATATTCACAGCAGCAAGCACACTCTTTGCGAGGTTATTCGCAGTGTGCCGCGCAATAAAATGCATTATTCAAATTGGTATATCAATGAAAACGCGACTATTTTCACAACCGACAAGCACTCAGAGTGGAAATTCCTGTGCATAGAATGGGATGTTCCATCACTCCCTCCGATTACAAAACATACACACTCAATTTCATTTTTGTACTCTCCATTTATTTTCATAGTTTACAATCTGAACAGTTATATAAGGAAACTAATGAAATGAGACGCATTATTTTTAGCAAATTCCAACCACAAACAAAAATTGTAAACAATAATATTGAAATCTAAATGTTTATAACAAACAGAAAAAAAAACACAGAATAAAAAATAGAATTATTTGAATACTATATGAATATGGATTAAATCATTATATTTGGTCAATCAAATAAGGAGTAAATGCTAGAATATGCGAAATGGAAAGCAGAATTTTAAATTATAAACAAAAATAAATGAATTGATTTAAAGGAACATTAAGATTGCGCATTTTTCCCTTTGAATACACCATGAAATGGAAATCTTCTGGAATGGTAATGAGGTGAGTTGAGTCTTTCTTTGATCGCAGTCTGAAATTAAAAGCATACTCTTCAGTGTAGAGAGAGCGGAAAGCCGTTGAAATCATCTAAATTAATCGTAATGTTTAATTTTACTCTTCATCTTTCTTGGTGGTGGCTGGAGCTGTTACCATTCACTTATAAAATTCGCGTCGTTGCACTTTCTTGGTAAGTCATCAGTGCCGAATGAATTTTGATGATAAACTTTCATTCTGGGTTAAAAGCGCGGATCTAAGTTATCTATCCACTTTTGGGTTGTGAATACTTTAAGTGAAAACTTCTGGTGTTTGAGTTCATTTACACAATGCTTTTCAATTACATCACTCTTATGCTCACAAAAACCCCGGCACACACTCTCTCTCTCGCACACACATTCAGTACGTTGGCGTCGTATTTTATACACGTACCGAAGTAGTGCAGCGATAATGCACCACGCGTACGCGTGGAAAAACCTCATTAAAGATACAGCTGTTAATGAAAGTTTTCTTAGTTTCTTGACACAAGAACACACATTTACTATGTTTCAACATTTCGTTGACTTTGGTTTTGGTTTTAAGCACATTTTGCGTTCACAATTTCACTGTTTAAAAGTTTGCTTTTCGGTGGAATGTACGATGAAAGTCATTTGAGGAGGAAAACTGCACCAAATTCTGAGAGAGCATGCGTGTGTTGTGTGCGAGCGGTGAGTGGAGCACAAGAAGAGTAAAAAAACACTTAGAACAGCCCTGACTGTGTTTGTAGTTTCAAGATTTACGATTTTATAGGTCTGAACAGGCACATTTCATTCACGCCGACTTTTTCAGTTCACATTTCCATAGAGACTTTCATCTTCAAATGAATTTTGCTGCCACATTTAAAATGTAAGTATTAAAATGTTCAAACTTTGTCTCAACATCAATGGCGTGATGAACACAGTGATGCTACTTTTAAAACTACAAATCGATTTAGAAGTGTTGCGCCTTGAAACTATTTTCAAACTTTGTTTTAACGAACGCAATTCCATGAGAAATTCATTTCAAATTCAAACAAAAAATCTATGTAAAAATGTGAAATTGAGAAAATCTCGCCTAAAAATGGCAGCAACTATTTGCTGTGACGACACATCTGTTCAGTAAGAAAATCAAAATTCGGTGAAGAAAAAAGGGGAAAAAAATGGTTTCCTTCTGAAGCTTTGATCCAAAAATCAGGCAATGTGCACTTGAATTGATGAAAATACAAAAATTGATTGAGTTGCGGGAGTATTCCAGTGGGAGAGCGAGAGAAAGAGAAAAATCAATATAATCTGCAATCGTATTAGCATAGTTGGTCATTGAAGATAATTTGTATTTCAATGATGTTCTCGTTATCGTTTTTTGCAATTTGCAATGCAATAAATCAGCATCATTTTTTTCCCTGTAAAATGTAGCAAAATGGAAAATGTTCATGGACGATTGGTATTTGCGTGGATGAAATACAGTTCCAAGAATTTACATGGTGGTGGATTCGATGTGATTGCCTGCATGTATGCATCGATTATCATGTATAAATAAATTGACTGGACTGTGCAATTTGTTGTGCATTCAATCGGATATAATCTTTTTAGCCTTTCTTATTCAGCAATCGCAATGGTGAGTAGGGTGAGCGGCTTCATACTTGTATATATTGTACAATCTGTAGCAGTCTGGCTAAATGTCACAACGTGTCCCCAATATTCTAGCCTGAAACTGGACTATTCAACGCAAATGCTCGTAGTGTCGTCCAATGAACGCTTAAATTGTGTGCAACAGATTTTGCTAGTTGCATGGAGTGGCTTATGTGTAAAGATTGCATACACAAATATTTTGATATGAAATTTTGTGCAGGAGCACAATAATCACAGATTTGCTTTTAATATATATAGAAAGCTTGATGTACGCTGTACTGGACGATGGACGTGAGAAGAGGCAGGAGGAAACTACATCAGCATCAGCATCAGCATCACCATCGTAATATTCAATATCGTCAGGGTGTTGGTCATTTTTATGGAATGGCCATGGTTATTTACTCAATTCGTATGCGAAGAGACGATTTTATTTGCGATAGCTGATGTTCATTCCTCTTTTCTGCAACGCTGCCAACATCAAAAAGTTCCATATCGTTCGGGCATTTTGCTTCACGTTTCGATTTCAGTTCCAAAGACTGAGCTCGGAATGCGATTTATACGGATTTACGTGTATCCACTTTTTTTCTGCTGATGTGCGATTCATGCAATATTTTGCGAGCGTAATTTTCTTGACCACTGACCCTGCAACGATTTGCGTTTCTCTATTTGCCGTTGGTTGCGCTGTGAAATATTATTATTATTAATGCCGTTCAAACCGTTGACAAAATATCGAAAAAATTCATAAGTCAGTAGATACTCTCGCTCGTTAACTTATTCCCACATATATGGTAACAGATGCAAGTATACGCACGAACCAAACGGTGCACGTAAATTGAATAAATGCAATAGTTTTTATGAATATTCTTCTTATTTTCAGTCGAATGTACAATATTAAAATTCGTTGAGTGAACACATAATAATTCGACCAATTGATTTTGCATTTGTATACACTCATACTCATATATGTAATATGTTTTGTCTTTTTTAAGAATCTGAGCTTCCGTTTCTTTCTTCAGGTTGTTGATGCAGCATTTTCAATTGATTTCGATTCCGCGTCAACCTCTGCGCCTTCTGTGTTTGGTTTCGATTCTGATTTCGTTTCCACTTCATCATCTTCTGCATTTGGTTGCAAAGAATGTTTGTCAATTTCAGCGCTTCCGTCAACCACTTCCGAGTTCATTACGCTCGTTCCTGATTCATCTCCAACAATTTCGCCATCTAACTCGAGGGCTTCCGCTTGTTCCTCAATTAATCTAATACTTTTTGCTCTACATTCTGCTACTAAGTCTGTCAACTGTGCCAATTCCTCCTCGGCAGACTGTATTTCCTTTTTCAATTTGGCAAAAGTTAAATTAACATTTGGATCCAAATTTTCACGTATGAACTCAACGGCATTGTCTGGTTTTTCTTTCAACAGAAATAAATTCAATAATGCATTTGACACTGCTTCGGCAGATCCGGTCATATTTAGATACAGCCCAAACGCAATGCACGCATCTTCCATAGGTTTACTCTCTATTACCTCCATATTTGTCACTACACAGATTTTACTGAAAAATTCTAAGTCTAATCGAGTGCAAGACAGAATAAAACAAAATTTCACCCTTTGATCTATTTACACGATTGCTTTGATCGGAAAATAATTTTAGTCTACACTGAATCATAGTTACAAGTTACAAACACTCAAAGAGAAAAACTAATTCCAAATTTAGTATCAACAACATTTCCACCATTTATTCTCGTTTTCATTCGTTTCCGAAACATTTGTTTTTTCTTCAAATTGTCCCTTTTCGTCCACAATTTCTTCGGCCGGTTGAATTTCGTATGATTGTTCTTCTGCAAAGTTGTCTCCAGTAACGAGTGGCGGTGACTTATTCACTTTTCCATCCTGAACTATCGATTTGGAAGGTATTTCTTCATCTACTATGAGTTGAGAAGTCACGTCTCCATGAACCTCTTGCACACTTGATATAGTTTGTTCAGGCAGGGCTTCTTCTAATAGCACTTCAATAAGTGATTCTTCAGGAGGCATTGTCGTTAGACTTTCCTCTTGTATAGTCGGCGTGGCAGAAAATTTTCCATGTGATAAAGTCTTCGGGAGTCTGGAAGTTTTGGAAATTTTAGAAGTTTTAGAAGTTTTAGAGATGAGCGATGGTCTGGACGGTTTTTTCCCCTTGTGCGACTTGGTTGATTTCTCTTCATCTGGCTGTCCAGCTGTTTTTTTGTTTGTTAGCTTGATTTCAACAACTGCCTCCTTTTTGGCACTATTTTTTCCCGCCGTCTTCTTTACGCCTTTGGCCAGCTTTCTAGCCCTTTTTTGTTTCCATTTGAGAAATTTTTGATACTGAATCGGATACTCGTGGGCCAGTTGTAAAAATTCTTCTTCGGCTGAATTTATATCCAGTTTTAAACTCGCAATTTGCTTCGTCAATTCCGGATCCAAATTCTCTCGAATAAATTCGACTGGATCATCTGGTTTCATTTTCAGTTTATCTAATTCGATCAGGATGTTCCATAGGGCCTTTTCTGCACCAGTTGAATCTAAATATTCGCGGAAATCTATAGGCTCTTCCATCCTAGAAATGTTTTTACTTATAAATTTGACGAAAAATAGCTTGGTTTTGACTTTAAATTCAATTATATTTCGATTTAAAATGATTGCTTTGATTGAACATTAATTGTTGTTATTGATACATGTTTGTTTTCCTCATTTCTATACTCTAAAATGTCCAATACAACGGTCATAACTCGTAATACCATCAAGAAGAAAGTGAACACTTTCCTGTGCTCTTGCACTAACCCAGTTGATCAGGATTATTTCTTCTTTTTACCCTTTTTGGCGGACAGCTTTCTCTTCTTTGTAGTATACCTTTCATAGATTTTCGGATATTGGTTTGCAATTGTTGATAGTTCTTCTTGGGACTTTCTGATATCTTCCTTCAGGGTTTTGTATAATTCAGTCATTTCTGGAGAAATATTCTGGCGTATAAATTCCACCGGATCTGCTGGCTTGTTCTTCATGCTATCCAATTTTATGAGTACTTTCCACATTGCCTCTTCACCGCCTGAGGATTTTAAGTATTCACGAAATGCACCGGATTGCGCCATTGTTAATGAGGTAACAAATTGTACGTTAACTCTACGTAAGATTTTGACTCTTCAATTTTACTGCTTTTCATTCATGGATTTAGGTTGCTTTGTTCATAAATTGATTACCCATAGCAATGTTTATGTCAGAAAAAGAAGTTTTTTCATTTGACAATATATGTTTGTTTCATTTAAAAAAAGACTGAAAC